CAGGCTGCATAGCGTTCGATTTGAGAATTTTTCTCGGTTATATCGCCGACAAAAACGCAACGCAACTCGGTAGCTGAATGGAAATGTAATTACACGGTGGCCGAGACGAAAAAGGGTGGAAGGATACGGTATTATGCTTAATTAATACAGTCATCAAATTTGCAAGCTGGCGTTGTACCGAGAAAGAGACACGCTGCGTTTTAGCGTAGAACGTAATGCCAGTTGGAACAACAGAGAGGAGGAATAAACGATCGAATCGAAAAGGCCGAAGAGGGAAGACGAACGATTTTATAGAAGGAGGATGAGAGAAATGAGAGGGAGGGGAGATATGAGAGGGAAAGGAGAGGATCGAGATACGAGTGTCTCTCGACATGTTTTTATCCGCCGTGAAGCTGTCACGGGGGTTTTATGTGTTTATTTATCTCTCCACTCTCTCTCGACACACCACGAACATGTATCGAGAGGCAAAGAGAGGTCGGTATGCCTCTGCACGCGGCTGACCGACCGTGTCAGGGCCCTGCCGATTGGAAGTCGCGTTCTCCTTTAACCCCTTCGTTCCGGCGTCTCGTTCGTTTTTCTCAGCAACGCGTTTCGCGACAACCGGTCCAAAGAAATCGTTCCCCCGGAATCTCTGCTGCAGCAGCACGGACGTAAATCCTTCAGGAAGCTCCGAGTGTCCGTCTAATTGCGGACACTGTTTCGAAAATCGTGTAACGAGATGCCATCTCACGGGTGTTCGGGCCGATGGTGGTCTGATCGTCCTTGAGAGATTGCGACAATGTCCAGAAATCATAATCGAACGAACAAATCACAGATCGTCTGTGTTACCATTGCCGCGTTAAACGGTACGACGAAAGGGAGATCTTGACCTTTACAAAGAAACGAGTCAACTGAAATCACTCGCTTGCTCGTAAAAGACCGGAGAATAAACGTTCCAAGAACGTTAATTGTCTGTCACGACACTGATAGCGGCTCGTGAAAGTTTCACTCAAAATTCGGAGATATTAACTTCAAATTCTTCTCTCATCACCATCTAATTGTTGACACGTTACGAAGACAGACAAGATTTTAATGTAACGTTCGACAAATAGGAGAAGAGCGAACGAGGAGCAGGTTGAGAAGAGACTTTGCCGATTAATAAAGCTAGGTCATCCATTTGGCGAGTGATCAGAAACAGTAATCAAAAGTTGAGGCCATTAATTAATAAGTTCAATTCCCCGATCGATGCACTCAAACTGTTGCCATAAATCGCTTGCGCAACGTCGCGTTCCAATTTCCAGTTGAAAGACAGGCGAAATTGCGCGCGCGGCATAGAAAGGATTTACGCGCAAAGTGGCATGCGTTAAAATTACTATGATCCGGTTGGTTTTACGTTAAAAGACGGCAGCCAAAAGCCAGCGGCGCAACGGTTTCAAACGGGACAACGTTCCTTCCTATCTTTCTCTCTTTTTTTCTGCCTTCCTTCTGTCTCGTTCATCATGCGGTTCAGGATACTTCATAGCCTCTCGTTTGATGGCGCGTCCAGCCTAAAATTACCCCAATCGAATGACATCTTAACGACGTTTTATTACGATCACCAGCTGGCCGACCGAGAGAACTTATCCATAATTTATCGAAGGAAGTTAGGCCACGGCGAAGCCTTGTCTAGGTGTGTATCGTTGACAGAGATAAGATGCCGAGCTAAACCGCGCGACTCCTTACATCGGAATAAACGCCTGTCCTACCGAAACGACGGCTTTCTATCGCCGATAACACCGATAACACCGATAGCTGAAGCTTGTCTAGCGCATTAGCATTGTACGGCATAAATATCGGAGCTGGTTCTAAGAAACTACACTCGTTCCTACACACACGTTGCAAGAAGTACTTCTGTACGGCTGACAGACGTAGACGTATGCTGCAGAGAGAAAGAGGGAGATTTCAGCTTCGCCTTCACCTCAGGAAGGAAAAAACGCCCCAAGCAGAATTTATGAGATATCAATTAGCGCGAGATTATTCCGCTCGCGTGTGATGCTGTGGCAATAAGTCACTGGCTACGGGGGGAGGAATGGAGGAAACCCGTGCAGGGAAAAGGTGAGAGGAGCAGAGAAATGCGTGACACGTTATCACCTCGCGAATTCTGTTACACGTCTGTACGTGCGTATATGCGAGAATGTGCGGCTGCCAATGGCTCTTTGCTTATACACATAACTCTCTTTCCTCTTATTGTACGAGACCCGTGGACGCGCGTTCGAACCGAGTTGAAGAGAGGCAGAGGCAAAGGACCGTTAGCGACACCTCGTTCACACGCACGTGCACCATGTAAATTTTTCGAGACAGAGAGAGAGAGAGAGAGATTAAAGATCAGCAGACTTCGGGTAACGAAACGCAAAACGAGTATTTTTTACGAAATTCTCCAAATCGCTAGTCTTCCATTCATCGTTTCAATAAATATATCAGCAACGGAGGGAAATTTCAGGAAGGCAGCTGTACGCGATTTGATGAATTTTTGTCATGGGCTTGCGTGAGAAGCAATGTTTCCATCGACACTTGAGCGTACTTAATCACGGAAATTCGATAAAGAAGCCCCGACTCGTGTCTCGAGCGCGTTGACGATAACGCCGAAGAAGGGAGAGCATTTAAGATCA